ACACACACACACGCTCACACACACACACACACACTCTCACACAGACACACACACACGCTCACACACACACACACACACACAGACACACACACACACACACACACACACACACACACTCTCTCACACACACACACACACACGCTCTCACACACACATTTATTTGATTCCCGTGTCTGACCGTCTGTGTTCTGCAGTGCTGGGAGACTCACGTCGGGCAGGAAATGTACAAGCTTGTGATCTTTGACTTCCTGATCATTGCTGCCGTCACCATCTTCGTGGAGTTTCCAAGGAAGTATGAAAATCTTTCTATTGCACATCTTCTGCAGAAGCAGCTTGAGCTGAAGTGCTTAGAGTTCGGTTGTTGTTTCAGGATCATCGTGAATAATTGCGACTGCGGTTTGGCCAAGTGGTGGGGGCAGCAGGAATTCGCCATCCCACAGAATGTGCTGGAGATCGTTTACGGCCAAACCATCTGCTGGATAGGAACCTTTTACTGCCCTCTGCTTCCTGCCATTAACACCGTCAAATACGTCCTCGTCTTCTACCTGAAAAAGGTCACGGCTCGAGCTTGAGGGGAAAATAACGTCCCAGTGTCAGAAATATTAAGGGTTCTAAAAATAAGCTTTGGTTTCTCTATGCTAAATATCATTTTAGAAATGTCATATTTTATTCTTGTTATTCCAGCTTTTCTAGCCTTTTTTCGGTCTTCTGATTAAAACTCCATTTAAGTGGCACGTCTTCTTTCAGACTTCAGTGTAAATAACTAGGACCCTGTTAAAATGTTTATGGCAGCGTATGTGATGTGAGCAGGCCTGACCGTGTGGCAGTAAGTGACTGCAAGTAAACGTCCTCTGATTAACGAGCCGCTCGTTGCCTTCGCAGGTGTCTCTGGTGACCAACTGTCGTCCCTCCACTCGTCCGTTCCGAGCTTCCAGCTCCAACTTCTTCTTCCTGGTGGTGTTGCTGATCGGCTTGGCTCTGGCGTCCGTCCCTGTCATCGTCAGTATTGCAGAGTGAGTCCGTGAATCACAAACACATGGGCGGTGTTACGTGTGGCTGCTCGTTTCATTGAGGTGTGTTTCAGAATCCGCTCGTCGCGAGCATGCGGCCCGTTCGTCAGCTACAGCACGTCGTGGAAGGTGGTGCCGCGAGTGATCTCCCAGCTGCCCATCGGCCTGAACTCATTCCTGCTGGCGCTCGCCTCCGAGGCCTTCGCCGTCTCCTTCTTCGTCATCACCTGGTGAGGAAAATCAGCAGCAGTAGAGTAGAGATACATCCAATTTACTTCCACACACCACTGCACTTCTGATTGAACATATCCTTTAAGTGGGCAAATTTAATCATTTTCATTTTTGTTAAAAACTTAAATTAAACGTTCAGAAACAAACTGCCTTGTGTTATTGTGAGAATGACCCCACAGCACCACCTGTCATCCATCAGCACTAAAACCGGTTTGACCACAGATACTGTACCAGTGTGACATCAGCGTGGCAGGTCTGCTGTGTATGAAACTACAGTAAATCTGTAATCCTGTGTGTGTGTGTGTGTGTGTGTGTGTGTGTTGCAGTCTGGGGATGTTCTATGTCATTGCCTTGGCTGGAGCTCATAAGCGTGTGATTGAACAGCTCCGAGATCAGCTGGCTATGGTGAGTCTCCACATCATGATCATGATGATGATGATGATGGGTGGGGTTTTATCTGATAATTTTCTTGTTATTTCAGTGCAACAAATGCTCTAGTGTCATTAACAGTCCAAATCTTCATGAATGTTTTATCTTACAGCCTTTGAACTAAATGCACCAGAAATCATTTCTAATATCTCAAACTCAGCCTGCTTTGACTTTAGGAGTCACTAGAAATAAGGAGGGATGCAGGAGTGTTTAATATGTGTGAACTGCAGATTGGATGGATGAATACAAACTTACATTTACATTTAGTCATTTTGCAGACGCTTTTATCCAAAGCGACTTACAATTGGGGAATACATAAAGCGATTCTTCTTAAAGAGGCAGACACAGGAAGTGCTCGTAATACCAAGTTTTAGGCATTGTTCAAATAAGTACACGCTAGAAAGGGAAGGAATAAATAAAGAGAGAGAAAGTTTTTTTTTTATTTTAGGATGAAGTCAGATAGTGACGATAGTTTTGAGCTGTCGCTTGAAAATTGTCAGGGATTCAGCATTCCGGATAGGGGTGGGAAGATCGTTCCACCAGCCAGGAACGGTGAACGAGAATGTTCTGGAAAGTGATTTTCAGCCTCTCGGTGATGGTACCTCGAGGCGTCGCTCACTAGCAGATCTCAGACTTCTGGAGGGATGTAGATTCGTAAGAGTGAGTGGAAGTAGGCGGGTGCTGAGCCTGTGGCTGTTCTATATGCAAGCATCAATGTCTTGAACTTGATGTGAGCTGTAACCGGCAGCCAGTGCAAGGAGATAAAGAGAGGTGTAACATTTACATTTACATTTAGTCATTTTGCAGACGCTTTTATCCAAAGCGACTTACAATTGGGGGATACATAAAGCGATTCTTCTTAAAGAGGCAAACAGACACAGGAAGTGCTTGTAATACCAAGTTTCTAGACATTGTTCAAATAAGTACAAGCTAGAAAGAGAAGGAATAAATATAGAGAGAGATTTTTTTTTAATTTTTTTATGATGATGAAGTCAAGTAGCGTCGAAAGAGATGAGTTTTCAGCTGTCGCTTGAAAATTGTCAGGGATTCAGCATTCCGGATAGTGGTGGGAAGATCGTTCCACCAGCCGGGAACGGTGAATGAGAATGTTCTGGAAAGTGATTTTGAGCCTCTCTGTGATGGTACCACGAGAAGTTGCTCACTAGCGGATCTCAGACTTCTGGAGAGGATGTATGATGAGAGGGTGGACAGGAGGATCTGATGATTCAGTGTCAAACTTATTTAATGAACTAATGGAACTCGTCCTATTAAAAGGTTTGGATTTTTCAAGCCGTTTTCTGTAGAGTTCCAGCAAGTTTGAAGACTTCAAACAGGAAGCAGAGCTGAACCTTTCCAAGGCTTATGTTTAATCAAGCACACTCTTTTAATTAAGTAAACTCCAAGGCTTTCGCATTTACATTGTATTTGTACAACTGTGTTTCATGAGTGCTTTAAAAAAAATTTTAATGTCATGCTTGCTGGTGTCTACATGACAAAACTGGTCTGTTAGTTCAGTTGTTATGCACTGATGTTTTCCTGAAGACACTGATCATGTTCCCTTTGGTGTGTGTGTATGTCTGTGTCTGTGTCTGTGTGTGTCTGTCTGTCTGTCTGTCTGTCCTATAGGCTGAAATCTATCTGGACCTATTCTGGAGAAAGAAAAAACAAACACACACACATTTCGATGTGTACAACTGCTTAGAAACTTGTGTGTTCATTTTACATACCTCTTCCCTTCCCCTACCCTGTAGGAAATACAAAACTACCAAAAAAATGTTACGTTTATTTTGTTGTATATAAAGTTTATTCAAATGAGAAAGTTTATCTAAAATGTACATTTTAAAATTAGAATTCATTTAAACAGCATTTAACACTATTTGCTTTTTTTTTTTTTGATGAACATCATTATTTTGTCTCTACATGAACATACATTTGCATGGATGGGTGAACACCATCACCTGATTTTGTAAATGTGACAAATTTTTCATTAAGCACCAAGTTTGCACTTATGCTTACATTTACAAAATGAGCTTGCAATATCAGAAATAATGAATAAAGTAATGGTCCATCTTAATACCATAGACTGTATAAAAACATGGACGTAGTGTCCGTGACATCACCCGTAGATTTCCGAAGAGCGTTTTTGAAGCTCAAAAGTGGGCGGAGGCGGCCGTCGCCATCTTGGCAGTGCGTCACCGCGCGTCACTCCCGGATAATCGAAAATGGGCAAAGAGGCGGGAGCAGGTTGCTGAAGCCACGCCCACCTAGCTCGACGGTGGTGACAGCAGCGGCAATCCACCTGTCACTCAAGTGGCCACGCCCTTAATTATGCAGAACTTTAAGGCTTAATATAATTTAAACGGATGAGTTATAAAAAAATTCACCCCCCTCACAGTTGTCATCAAGGGCAAAATTAGCTATATAGACCAAAATCATTTTTTGAACCAGGCTGTAAACATGTTTTTTTCTGCTGTAAAGTTGGGCATTTTAACATGGGGAGTCTATGGGATTGACTCCCTTTTGCAGCCAGCCTCTAGCGGCCAGTCGATGAATTACAGTTTAAGTCACTTCCTTGTTGGCTTCACAAGAGGTTGCCGTTTGGTTAATACAAACATTAATTAAAAGAAAATGTTTAATGAATGAAAAAAAACATAAGAAAGCATTACTTAATTTAGTGTTATACATATGTTATCATATTCATATGGTTTGTTCTAATGTCACAAATCATAATCTCAAGTTTACTGCATTTTACACGATGCTTTGAATTATTTTGTGTGGGTTTAAAAAGTGTACTCAAAAACATTTCCACACGTGTCCTCTCACCGCTGCTTTCTGGTGGTTTGGAGAGCAGTTACTCAGAGTCGCCCCCTGTCGCTTCCGAGCGCATCGAGTATAAAAGCCTCGTCCGTTTAGGGAGGAGCGGGCAGTCAGCAGGTTCGAGGCGTAGAGCCAGGCGAAGGTGTAAACAAGGCTTCAGCTGCACAAAACGCTTCCACTACGACCCGTGTGTCGAGATTGAGGTCTCTGCAGAGCAAAGGTACGCGTTTCTGACGTTGTGGGTGTTTTCAAACTGATGGGTGTTTCTAAATGATGCAATGAAAATGATCCCCCTTACCTAACCCTGCCCCTAAGCCTGCCGTCACTATGATGTGAGCCAATCAGGTAAGAAGGTCGAAAACGCCCCGATCTGGTAACTCCCGTTACTGTCCCGCAGAGACCTATAGGGGTTATGCGCAACAGACTTCCGTATTCTGTTAACCGGGTCTCGTCGCTTCCGGTTCAAGCGTTTTGCATATGCTTAGTTAAATATGAAGCAGTTTTACTCAAGATGCCTTCAAAGTAGATAGCAATGATGATCATAACCAATGTTCATCACATATGCGGACTGATATCTAAAAGTTTTTTTTATTTTTATTCTTTTCACATTTAGATATAAAAATTGAATAAAACGTCAAAAATAAAAACAGTTAGCTAGTTTAACTGATTATCTTAAAAGTCCATAGATATCGCTATTATTTAATACGGCTGTTAACACGTTCTCCGACAAGCGGAAGCAATGAGACCTGTTTTCCGGGTTTGGTCAGGTGATATTCGACATATACCCTATTATTGTTTAAGTCAGAAGTGTAGGCCTACTTGTCGTTCCACTCTGCACCAAGCACATCACTTTCTATTGCTCATTCATTCATGCTCCTTTTTCCACTCCATTGTTACAATAATTCCTGCCCACTAAAAGCTGCACGGATATATTTGCTTACCCCGACAGGTCTATCTATGTAAACGATTTAGAAAAAGTTCAGTCGATTCACTCTTTATATCATTGCCATAATATGTATTGTCACATCAACCAGCCCTAACATGCAGTGATGCTTTAAACACATTTGACAAGCTAGTCAAATAAAACAACCGATTAACTATCAAAACTGATTGGCTAACGCTATTCAGAGCTCTTTTCTTCTTTCATGTTAACTGAAGTTAATCTGAATGATGCACTATTTTAAAGGGATAGTTCACCCAAAAATGAAAATTCTGTCATTAATTACTCATCCTCATGTCGTTTCAAACCCGTAAGACCTTCGTTCATCTTCCGAACACAAATTAAGATATTTTTGATGAAATCTGAGACCTGTCTGACCCTCCCATAGACAGCAAGGCAACTGAAATGTTCCCAAGTCCAGAAATGTAGCAAGGAGATCTGTAAAATAGCCCATGTGACATCAGGGGTTCATCCGCAATTATACGAAGCTACGAGAATACTTTTTGTGCGCAAAGAAAACAAAAATAACAATTTATTCAACAATTCTTCAAAGAAAAAAGACTTTATTCAACAATTAGTCTCCTCCGCATCACCCTGGTGCCATTTTGGAGAATATCAGCAGGACGTAAACAGCGCATGCTGTTCTGTGTCAGCTGCGTCACGCCGGATCTGTTTCCTACATTGTTGTGATTTGATCTGAACGGAAACAGCTTATCCGTGTGACGCAGCTGTGGCTGCTGTCTGATGTTCAAGGCTTTTATTTTGGCGGGCTGCTGTCTGATATATATGATATATGATATATAACACTTTATTGTCAGACGAGTCTGAAATTTTTCTTGCATGACAGTATCTGTGTTTACAACAATCAACATCTTTTAAACAACAACATGCACTTCATCCACACACAAACAAAACACAATATACATTACACTCCCTTAAACATTACATTATGCCTTACCCTCCTACTACACTTCTACAACTACCCATGTTCACATTACTCTTGATTTTTGATTAAGTGTCTTATTCAACTCCAGGATCGCCTGATGCACAAAAGA